GTAATTGGGATGATGATGGTAATTGGGATGATGATGGTAATTGGGATGATGATGGTAATTGGGATGATGATGGTAATTGGGATGATGATGGTAATGGCGATAGTGATAGTGATAATTCAATATCATTTCTCTGTAAATTGGTGACTGTATTAATGTCTGCAGCTACATGATTATGTTCATCATCATTGTCGTCGTCGTCATCAACTGTATCACCAGATTCATAATTTTCCTTGAATGATTTTTTTAAACAAAATGAATCATGGCATAATAAACTTTATTACTAATAATATAATAATAGACGATACCTCATATATCATTCTTAAAAGCTCAAAAACCTCTTTGGGTTTTAGTGGAGCTGCGCATTCTTCTACATGACCCTTTATTTTATCATACAGGGCATCCAGTTCAATGTAGTCTTCAAGTGGTTTTAAATAACTGAATAAATAAAAAACAAGTTAATTAAGATTGCTCTAATCACTAGAATCACAATGATTGCACCACTCATTAATAAATAACTAGAGTAACGACAGGTGGCGGGCGATAACCACCACTACCACCACCACCACCACCATTCTTAAAACACTTACCCAGAAATATTTTCACGATTATCTTCTCTAATCCTTTTCTTGTTGTTATTTTTATTAGGCGGCATTTTTGTTGTAAAAATAAAAAGTTTGTGATTTGATCAACATGTACAACATTAATTATTTATCCTATTGGTTTTTTTTTTTGGTAGGACAGACGCGAATTGATTTTTTTTCTTTCTTGGAAAAACAATTTATTTTTTGACAGAGTCCAAGGTGACAAAACGTGAGTGTTGTTGTTTGGCTTGGTTTGGTCTAAAAAGAATACGTGTTAATAACTAACCAGAGGTACTTTTTTTTATTTGTATTGTCTTTTTTGGTTATTATAAATATTTTAATTAGAAATCAAAACGCGGAGCAGATCTTTGCTGGGTAATTACAAGATTTTCATAATAATATTTTGCTTTGCATAATCGTAATAATAATACTAATATCATATTATTATAATTACAAGATGTCAAGGCAGCAACAGAAGAAACATTTTGAAATGCGACATTTGATTATCGAAAATTTACAGGTGTTGAAGCACGCACGCACGCTGCCTTGAACACTTTACAGTCATTCTCACATCTTCCTCGTGTATAAAAGGCTAATCTGACCAAGATTCCCCCGATTATACAATGATGTGATTAAATTCTAGGGGGGGGCCACATGGTCCTGGAGTTTACCGAGACTGCATCAATCGTCAATGACATTTTCACTAATCTTCCCAGACCAGAGATGGCTGCTGGCACGCTGGTTGAAAAGTTGCTTGTAACGATCCAACCTCTAGGGTAAGGATGACTCTGTAACCAGGTCGCAACTCGGAGGAATATTAAGAGAATCTGCAGCTTGTTCCAAGCACCAGGAGGTCACAATTCAGAGCAGGGTTGGTGGCCCTGAAATTGCATTGGGCTCTGATGTTAAGAGGAAAGTTGTAAAATAGTGTTTGTTTTGTATAATCACTTTCCTAAATTCTCTGTTTCTCTGATTCTAACCAATTTAATAATTTTGGGTAGGGGATTGAATGTGGTTTTTGCCCAATCAGTCCCCTGTTGTATAGATTAAAATTATTGCATGATTATATACATCTTTGTCAGCAATGTGGCCAACAAGAAAAAGTCATAAAATGGTTCGGATTTTGTTTGGTATGTTATAAATTAATCATTCCCATAAATTTTCTGCATCTCTTTAATTTTTATTTGTCCAATTGAATTTGTTATTTAAATGGGGGTAGGGTTGTTGGTGAGTAGGCATGCCACTGACAAGACAGAGATGCCTTTGAGATATACCAGCCAAACTCATAGAAAGGGACCTTTTGTCCAGACTTAGGGTCACATGGATGTTAAGTGCAGAAAATGTACACTATCAATTTATATTTTTTTCAACAAAATAAACATTTAAATAATTAATTGTTAAATATTAATAATTTTCTTTTCATAAAAATTACAGCAACTCAGGACTCAAAACTCTGAATTCAGGGAAAATCCAAAACAGCAACCCAGGTTGCAACATCCTGAGTTGCAGGTGCCAACTTTTATGCTAGCGTGGAAATAACACGCAGCAATCATCACACAAGCAGTGATCAATGCCCATATGATAATAGCCAAGCCTGGTCTGAGGGGAGGATAAGGGGATGTTTTGTCCAAAGCCTTCCAACATGTTTAAGACTGTTTCACCTGTGGGAAAAAAATTTCATGGTGCTGAATTGCACTTAATTGTGCCGTTTTGCATGTTTGTGACAGGAAATTTTTTAATTAAATCTGACACCTGCAATCAACATCAGATTTATTATTCATAAGGACTACACAATGGGAAAATGGGAACTACAATTGACAATCAGGAAAAATAATTTATTTTGTGAACCCCAGAGATTCTGGGTAGACACATATTATTAAAAGTTTCATTTCTGCATGGCCTTGGTATTGTTACTACTTGGGTGATGCAATTGTTTGTTATGTCAATTATAACTTCAAACATATTGAATAATAATCATGAATATTTGATGGATGGAGGCATTCACATACAAGGAAAGGATTAAATAAGCTAAGTCATGTTTATTTTTATCTATATAATTAATTATATTTAAAATATACAATAAAAAAAATCCAAAACTGCACCGCTATGCCAATCAAGCTATCAAGCTGTTATGTTTGTGCATGATTTAAAATCCTTTTGTGCTAATTTAGGGTCCCATCTTTCTTTGCTTATGTATAATCTATTGGTTCTCTTTTTACTGGTCGAATGATGCCAAATTGGGTAATGAGGAATATCAGAACCTGATATCTGACCAATATTCTTTAAAAAAATAATTGAGGTATTGGCATACTGATAAGATAATAATATTCTTGGTATTTTTATCTCATATATAGTCTAAAAGCCTATTAGTAAATATTGAAAATGCTGATATTTATCAGATATTCTTCTAAAATTAATCCTATTTTTTAGTTAAATAGCTTTTTTATATTGTAATTAAGTTATTGGTTAAACATTTCTAAAGCTATTTGTGAGTAGTAGTTAGGGTTTCTATCTGAATAAGATTTATTTGAATAAAACAAATAAAATGAATATAAGTGAATATAAGTGAATATAAGTGAATAAAACAAATAATTAATAATTCAAATAATTCAAAATTGTATTATGAATAGAAACCATTTAAATTCAATAAATAAATAAACAAATAGCTTTTATTTGCAAAATAATTGATTTTGTTCCTTTGGTGTTAATAATTGAATCAATCACACAAGTAGTAATCAATTTAAATGGCATTGTTTTATAGTAGTCGCGGGACATTGCAGATCAAGTGTCATTCAATATAAACGTTACACAAATAAAATTATTATCGTCCACTTCAAAAAAAAAAATCTCCGTTTTTCATATAGCAAGCGATTTTTAACCCATAATAAATTTTTTAGAGCCAGACTGGGGCTTTTAACAATAGTTAAAAGAAAAGACTAGCTTAAATATTGGTTAT